AATGGTAAAACTAGTAGAGTATCAAAAATAGTTGTTGTTTCAGTCAATCATGTGATAACAGTACTTTTAATAGGTATATGGCACATGAATACAATATACAGTTCTATAGTCGTATGATTTAGATATTCTATTAAAACATTTTTTTTTCCTAATAAATAAGATTATAACTTGGGTGTCTTACTATTGGATAGAGGTTACCAAACTCAGCTCTCAGACAATGAATCCTTCAGTGAAGTTCACACTCACTAAGTGCCCTACACATGTAGCCTTTTACCAGACTAAGATGGTTATTAGGAAGCTTATTTTGTAGACAATTTTGGTTTGATTTGGTTTATGACATATCAACATTTTCTAGGTTATTTAATGCCAAATTCTGTTGCTTTAATAAACAACAGAAAGGTAGACATAGATTGGTTTGCATGAAAGGCTAAAAGGTAGACATAAGTTTGGTCTGTGTGAGAGCCAAAATAGTAGACATAGGTTTGGTTTGTACGAGAGCCAAAAAGGCAGACATAGGTTTGGTTTGTGTGAGAGCCAAAAAGGCAGACGTAGGTTTGGTTTGTGTGAGAGCCAAAAAGGTAGACATAGGTTTGGTTTGTGCGAGAGCCAAAAAGGCAGACATAGGTTTGGTTTGTGCGAGAGCCAAAAAGGTAGACATAGGTTTGGTTTGTGCGAGAGCCAAAAAGGCAGACATTGGTTTGGTTTGTGTGAGAGCCAAAAAGGCAGACATGGGTTTGGTTTGCATGAGAGCCAAAAAGGTAGACATAGACTGAATTTATGTCTACCTTTTTGGGTCTCATGCAAAGCAAACAGGTGGCCCATTTTCGTGAGGATGTTATCCATCTGCAGAGTTGGTATATTCTTGATTTTAAATGACAGGGAAACAGTTTTGTTTGTAAGGAGTTTCATTTTCATTGGGTGTTTTATTACTATGGCATTAGTGCCAATAAGCTGAGTAAATATTTAGGTCACTGTGAAACTGGTTAGCAAATGAGCTGAATAGAGACTACTACTGTAGTGAGTTTGATTGTCGTTGGATATTCCATACTTGCTGCCTTATGTCAGACAATGCTAAGTTTTGTAAGGTTATATATGGAAAAAAATTTCTTTGCTTTATTTTAAACCAAAAAGCTTCTTGTTTTTCTTTTAGGGGAATACATATTAAATACTACCAACTTGACACTGGATGCAGAGCGTCAGATTTATCCAGTCCTTTGTACTCACCCCTTGCCTAAATCATGTAAAATCTGTTTATTGAATAATAGGGAGTTTTAATGAATTTGTCAGAATGAATGAGTGATATATATAGTAACATGTAGAAAGACATGCCCACTTCTTAGAGAATATATACTGATATAAGTTAACTGACATTGCAAAAAAAAAAAAAAAAAAATTATTTAAAGTCTCTGGGCCTAAAATCCAACATTCTAATCACTAGACTAAACTTTTAAAAATAAAATAGTAAGGGTGATGACAATATTACAAAATGATTTTTGATTCATGCATAAGTATGAAAAATTCTTGATGACACATATTTAGAACAAAGACAACTTTTAACTTCCAACAGATCTGAAATTAGACTAAATTTCAAAGGTGGTATTGTTGGAAAACAAAACCATTTTGTCATCCCCCAGAATCTCCCAAGTGTCAGATTGTCTTTCTTGTTTATTTAGGTATTCTAATTCTGGTGCGTTAGAGTCAGTTGCATATTCATAACGGCCATCTGAGAAATTCTGTTTTTTAAGTTTTGCTATAAAGTATTCTCTATTACTTTTCAAAGTTTTGTTCTTTCAGCCATTAGGAAAGAAATTTGCCATTGAGTTTTGTTGACTTAAAATCCAATCTGCAGCCTCTATTCAGTAGTATAAAGTATTGGACAGGAAGTCTTAAGGTCAGACAATCTAATCTTACATAATTCTGTTATACACAAATATTCTAAATTAACTGTAAGGATTGATCTCACAAACACACATTTTATATATATATATATATATATATAGAGAGAGAGAGAGAGAGACAGAGTTAATACAGAAATGCATGCACATATATATATATATATATATATATATATATATATATATATAGACACTGAAATATAAACACATATAAACAAACATACATTTATATAGAGATATATACGAATCTACAAGAATATCTGCACACATATAAATAGAAAGATGTATATAAGCATACAGATATCCACATATATAGATATATGCACATACAAACACCTTCACAGATATAAGTATATATTCACATGCAAATATACACACACACACATATAGAGAGAGAGAGTGAGAGAGAGATAGATAAACACAAACATCAGTACACACACACACACACACATATATATATATATATATATATATATATATATTTATATACAAATATATTATTTCTTGGACATTCAGGCCGGTAAATATATATATATATATATATATGTATATATATAGAGAGAGATATAGATATATATACTTAGAGATATATGTACATGTATCCACACATTCATAAAGATGCACACAGACATACCCCCCCATATATATATATATATATATATATATATATATAAATATGCATGAACATATATATATATATATATATATATATATATATATGCATGAACATATATATATATATATATATATATATATATATATATATATATGCATGAACATATTTTATTCATCTGTATATATATGTATGTACAAATGTATGTGTGTAGATCTAAAATTTTGGGGACAAATGATATAGAAAGAAGTGTTGGAGAATTTGACACTCACAGGACATATTGAAGGCAAAAGAGATAGGGTGAGGCAGATGATCATGAGAAAGTGAGTGAGCGAGTAAGTTTGACTGAAAAATGTGAGAGTGAGAATATATATCTGTGTTTATATTTAAATTCCCAGATGAATTCTGTGGACAAGACAGATTGATATCAAATGACAATTGGAAAAAAATCTTGCATTTTGCCAACGTGTTTCGTCTTCCGACTTTTTCAAGGCAAAAATGAAATTGAAATGTTTTTGTTGTTATAGTTACATTAAAATTCAAAATTAAAAGATAGACGTTGTGTTTTTTTCTGGTTAATGTAAATTACCTTTATAGTAAGGATTATATTTTTTTTTTTTTTTGTAAGATTTTTTTCCAATTGTCATTTGATACCAATCTGTCTTGTCCACAGAATTCATCTGGGAATTTAACTATATTGTCGACATGGAAAAAAAAAAAAAAAAAAAAATAATCCCTTACTATAAAGGTAATTTACATTAACCAGAAAAAAGGCTTAGACACAAGTGTCTATCTTTTTAATTTTGAATTTTAATGTAACTATAACAACAAAAACATTTCAATTTCATTTTTGCCTTGAAAAAGTCAGAAGACGAAACGCGTCGGCAAAATGTAAGATTTTTTTCCAATTGTCATTTGATACCAATCTGTGTTTATGTAAACAATAATTTTTATTTGGTGTTTCAAGCGGCTTTCTTGTTTAGGCAGTAGTTGGTGTTCAAGTCCAAGTAAAAATCAGGATCTTAAAATCTAATTTTCAAAACAATCAGAGTTTGTCCTCTAAGAAGTACAATGTAATACAATTTTCTTCCCCTCCATTTGTTTGACTGATAAATTTAGTAAATCTAATTAGTGCTAATTAGTCTAATACATTTCTGATTTGAAATTTTTGTCTAAGCAAACTACACTGAAAAGAACTTGAAGACAGTCACTGAGCTTAAAGTCAATCAACTTCCCATTATAGAATTTATATAAATTATTTGCAAATAAATAAATAAGAGGAGATTACTCTCCAATTAACAAACTTCAACATTTTAAAATTGATTTCTACTAGTATTTACTGGATCCCAAACCCATGGTGGCAGGATTTGGTACAAAGCCGGATTAAAAGTGGGAGACCTGGACTAAAACTAAAACTTGCCCTGTCCCTAAAACCTAACATTGCTAGTGTCCATATTGTACTGACCTTCATTCTTTGGTGCAATGGCCGGGGTGGGGGGGATGTTATTGCGCTGCTGCAGGCATCTTTCATTAATTTATTTGTGTTCTGTCTAAAGACAAAGATACAAGTTGAGAGATAATAACCATAGATACTTATACAAAATGGTGGATTACTAATAAATTGGTATTTACTAATCTCTAATTCAGAAGAGTCTATTGTTAAATGATTTTTTTAACATACATAGGAAATTACATCTTTTAAAATACATAGAAAAATACATACATTTTAGAAAAATTGATTTTTGTTAAAAAAAAAATTAGCAAGAATCTATTGCTAAATGTTTTTTTAAAATACATAGTAAAAAAATACCTCTTTTTACGTACAGAGAAAAATACCTGCATCGTAGAAAAACTGTTTTTTGTAATAAAGTGTAAAAATGTTCATTCATAATAGAATGAAAAACTTAATATTTTTGCATAAACTAATGATACCTGTTAAATAATGGTATCTTTTTTTTGTAAAAAGAAAAATGACTTTTATATGAAAAATAGTTTTTTTTTCAAATAGTTATCATTAATTCATGGGTATCATTATTTTATATTGCATTTAGTAATCTTTTTGCTTGTTTTTCTCTTTCAATGTTGATATGGTTTTCTTTTCAGATTTTCTAACACATGTACAAAGAAAACAACATTCAGCTCGTTACTATCAGTGGGAGTTCAAACAAAAGATCCCACACTATTATTATTAAGTCTCTAAATGGAATGTAAATTACTTTATCCATCCAGTTCAAGCATTTAAATGGTGTTTTAAAAATCTTACTGTGATTTGCCATTTTTTAGCATTATGGGAACAGACACACATGCAAAGAGAAATCAGACTATTATAATTTAAGCAAATAGTAACTTATTATCTCCTGCAGAATTCTGGGAAGGGAAAATTGTGATTTTACAATAATTTCATTTCTGAGTTTATATATGATGAGTAAAGGAAGCATTTTGTGAGGTATTGGGAATGAGTTTTTTAATGTATATTTATATTTTAGTGTTTACTAGACAAACAGATATTGAAGAGAGAGAGAGAATGACAGACAAATATTGAAGAGAGTGAGACAGACATATATTGAAGAGAGAGAGAAAGAGATATGGGAGAGAGAGAGAGAGACAGATATAGAAGAGAGAGAGAGAAACAAACATATCAAAGAGAATGAGAGAGAGACAGATATAGAAGAGAGAGACAGATATAGAAGTGAATGAGAGAGAGACAGATATAGAAGAGAATGAGTCGAGAGAGATATGGAAGAGAATGAGTCGAGAGAGATATGGAAGAGAATGAGTCGAGAGAGAGATATGGAAGAGAATGAGAGAGAGAGAGAGAGAGGTATATAGAAGAGAATGAGAGAGAGATATGCAAGAGAATGAGAGAGAGAGACAGATATGGAAGAGAATGAGAGAGAGAGAGAGAGAGCGACTGATATTTAAGAAAATGAGAAACAAACATATTGAAGAGAATGAGAGACAGATATCGAAGAAAATGAGTGAGAAAGAGACAGATATTGAAGAGAATGAGAGAGAGAGAGAGAGAGAGACAGATATTAAAGAGAGAGACAAATTGTAGAGAATGAGAGAGAGAGACAGATATTGTAGCGAATGAGGGAGAGAGAGACAGATATCAAAGAGAATGAGAGAGAGAGACAGATATGGAAGAGAATGAGAAACAAAGAGATATTGAAGAGAATGAGAGACGGACAGATATGGAAGAGAATGAGAGAGAGAGACAGATATGGAAGAGAATGAGAGAGAGAGAGAGAGAGCGACTTATATTTAAGGAAATGAAAAACAAACATATTGATCAGAATGAGAGACAGATATTGAAGAAAATGAGTGAGAAAGAGACAGATATTGAAGAGAATGAGAGAGAGACAGATATTAAAGAAGGAGACAAATTGTAGAGAATGAGAGAGAGAGACAGATATCGTAGAGAATGAGAGAGAGAGAGAGAGACAGATATCAAAGAGAATGAGAGAGAGAGACAGATATGGAAGAGAATGAGAGACAGACAGATATTCAAGAGAATGAAATCGATATTCAAGAGAATGAAATCGATTAATAGACATTGAATATATAGATAGACAGAGATATATTGAAGAGAATGATAGATAGATAAATAGACTGAATGAATAGATAGTGAGATACTGAAGAGAATGAAATAAATATTGAAATGAAAGAGACAGATGACAAGACCAATTCAAAAAACATGCTTTGGCTTTAAGCCACAAAGGGTTCATAAACCGTAAAACAAATCAATCTTTACTGAGAAATGAAATTATAATGATTTGTTGATGTAAATTATAAAAGATATTACATTCAAATTATAAAGATATTACAAACCAATGTTATTTAATTTTCAATAATGATTTTTATAAACAAATGATTTGGATCACCAGAGTTTTAGCTTGCCTCTTTTTAGAACTGATAGATAGATAGATAGATAGATAGATAGATAGATAGACAGATAGATAGATAGGATTGTCAGGCTATATTAAGTTAATATGTACACAGAAACTCCTTGTAGCATACTTGCATATATGCACTAGATAACACACACACACAGACACCAATAATGAAAATGCAGTGTCAGAAGTGGGTTTTTAATCTGAGGAAAGGATGTGAGAAGATACAAAATATAAATAAAATAACGAGATAATACTTTGAACTCATTTTCTGAACATTTCTCATTATAAAATTATTTTTTAAAAAAAGGCTCCAATATTCAGAGAACTTAAAACGATTACTTCGTTACTTATTTTAGTAAACCATTTTATTTACAATTATTGCCACATAAGACAAACAAGTTAGTGAATATTTTAAACAATTAGCCATAATAATATAAGATCACTTAGATCATAATCAACTAAGATTGTATTTACATAAGTACATTTACATAAGTAGCAAAGTAATCATTCTAAATAATATGGTTAATTGAAATAAGTACTGCATAATTTATTGCATTTTAGAAATACTTGACAAACAACTCATATGTATATCTACATGTGTGTGTGTGTATATATATATATATATATATATATATATGTGTGTGTGTATATATATATATCGTCATTCACACACACACACACACACATATATATATACAGTCATCCACATATGTCATTCGCACACATATATACATATACATACAGTCATTCACACTCACACACACACACATATATATACACACAGTCGTACACACACATATATACATATAGAGTCAGTCACAAACACACAAACACAGAGATCCACATACACAAACACATATATATACACAGTCATACACACACACACACATGTAAAATGTGTATGTATATATATATATATATATATGTATGTGTGTGTGTATGTGTGTGTGTGATTCTTTATATATATTATTTATATCTAATATATGCACAGTACTTATTGGAAAGTGCTTAATATCAGTGATAGAGCTAACATATTTAGTTGGATTGATGTGAGTTTGATGATTGTAAATAGTGTGAAACCCAGGGTCACAAACTCACATTAATCCAACTAAATATATATATATAAATATTTATCTACACACATATTATATATTTAGTCATCCACATTCATTGATTTATGTCACAAGAACATTGTGTTACAAAAAAAGCCATAACCCTATATATATATATATATATATATGTGTGTGTGTGTGTGTGTGTGGTGACTGTGTGTGTGTGTATATATATATATATATATATATATATATATATATATATATATATATATATATATATATATATCAGCATGGTAATTTCCTTTCTTCCTTTAATAAGGATACTAAGAAATTTGTTCATAATTACAAGAGGATCCTATTAAAAATCAGTAGACAAAGTCTAAATTATTTAATGAGATCTGTCTTAATATTTCTATGTAAAATATCAGATAGAGTATATCTGTAAAAGGAGAAAAGTGAACAAAGGCAAAAGGAAACTTATCTTAGTCAACATGTTTCATCATCTGAGGAACTTTAGCAAGGCAAATATAAGGATTTTATATTGTGACAAGTATATACATGAGCAAAAATGTTATCTGTTTTTCATGAGCACTCCTATACCATAAAATTTTGAAAAAACAATAAAATTTTTTCTCTTGTATATAATTACTTGTCACAAAATAAAATCTTTACATTTGCCTTTATAAAATTCCTCAAAGGATGAAGCGCATTGGCTAAGATAAGTTTTCCTTTTGTCATTATTCATACATACATACATACATACATATATATATACATATACATATATATATATATATATATATATATATATATATATATATATAGTGATATAGAGCTTAATCAGAATGAAGTCTTTCACAAAAGATAGTCACTCAGGTATCCCAGAATAGCAAAAAAGATAAAAAAAACGTTAGTAATAATTATGATGATGATGGTGATGATGATAACGGCATAGTAATTTATCTCATTTCTTCTTTGCCAAAAAGTCCAAATCTTCACAAAATTTCACGGAAGAGGATAGGATCCATTATTTATATTTTCTTTTTCTGGTGGGGAAAGATATCTGACTAACAAACAACCAGGCAGGCAGGCAGGCAGGCAGGCAGGCAGGCAGGCAGACGGGCAGACGGGCGGACAGGCAAGATGGTAAAATGAAAAAAAAAAATTAAAAATTAAAAAAGAAACAGAAAAGAAAAAAGGCATCAAAATAAGAAAAACTAATCATCTTTTAGCTTTTGTACACAGACATTTTCCCCTGAGATTGTAACTGTTCAACTATTGTAAATCGTTCTAAACGTTGTGTGCACAAAGATACAAAAATCGAATTGTCTAGGCAGCATGCAAAATTGAATGAGTGTCATTTGTTGAGAATCAAGCGGGGACAGTCTTCTGTGTACAATAGCGTTTATTCTATTAGCGAACAATAAGAAGGTGTACATGCACACTAATCATGAATTAAGTTTTCGCAAAAGAAGAAAGAAGTAAACATAAAGGAAAAAGAGAGAATAAAGCAGATTGGGTGTACACAGAGATTTCTGTGAAGCACACGAGTCAAAGCAAACAGAAGAAATAGCTAAAGAGCCATGAGATTGAACTCAGGTTTCAAAGGCTTACTGTTCAATTTCTGACATAAAGGTGCATTGTATATAGCATAAAACCGATATACCTGTCTGTAACATCAGGGATGAAAATATTATAAATGATCATCTGCTCATACATTTCTCGGATTTATTCAGATTTTTCAATCTCATCATTTTGCAGTTAAATTGGCTAGATGTAAATAAGTTCTTTGCTAACAATTTATTTTCTCACACTTCTCACCTGTGGAACTCTTCTTCCAACTTCATGCTTTCCAGACAACTTTGATCTTCAAAAATTTGAATGAAGTGTCAACCATTATCTACTGTCTTCTTGATTCCTCTTCTTCCTCCTTAATGTTTTTCTTTTTCTTTCACACTCAGTAACGTTTTGTGTTAGTGACTTTATTGCCTTGCTTGGGGTGAAAGGATAAAAATATGTTAAGCCAGTTACATCATAACATATACTGAATGATGAACAATTATGTTACATCATAACATATACTGAATGACGAACAATTATGTTACATCATAACATATACTGAATGGTGAACAATTATGTTACATCATAACATATAGAATGGTGAACAATTATGTTACATCATAACATATACTGAATGCTGAACAATTATGTTACATCATAACATATACTGAATGGTGAACAATTATGTTACATCATAACATATACTGAATGCTGAACAATTATGTTACATCATAGCATATACTGAATGATGAACAATTATGTTAGATCATAACATATACTGAATGACAAACAATTATGTTACATCATAACATATACTGAATTATGAACAATTACGTTACATCATAACATATACTGAATGGTGAACAATTATGTTACATCATAACATATACTGAATGACGAACAATTATGTTACATTGTAACATATACTGAATGGTGAACAATTATGTTACATCATAACATATACTGAATTATGAACAATTATGTTACATCATAACATATACTGAATGGTGAACAATTATGTTACATCATAACATACTGAATGACGAACAATTATGTTACATCGTAACATATACTGAATGGTGAACAATTATGTTACATCATAACATATACTGAATGACGAACAATTATGTTACATCGTAACATATACTGAATGGTGAACAATTATGTTACATCATAACATATACTGAATGACGAACAATTATGTTACATCATAACTTATGAATAATATACAAATATGTTACATCATAACTTATCTTAGATGATAAAAGTTATGCTACATGAAATATATACTGAATGATAAACAATTATGTTGCATCATAACAGTGAATGATAGATAATTGCACAGAAATGAAAATATTGGATGCGATATTTTGAGAGACATACTTTCAATATGCAAGGGATCTGCTAAAATAATTTAGCTTCGAGTATTAATCCATATAAATCCACCAATACCATACCTATCTATTTATCTATCTTTAGTTATATATATATGGCAATGGTAATATTAGCTGTTTCTCTATAAAGGAATGTTTGGTATTTGTTGACCAAGCAGCCAGTGCTACCATCAATTGAAATTTATGAAATCTTTCTCTTGAAGCAATTTTCAGGAAAATAGATTTCTCAAGTCCAGTAGCTGTTACCACATTTTTGATGTAGGTTTCCTTCCTAAGATTTTCTTTGGAACAAAGTAAAATGTCAGCATCTTGATTATGTCATTATTCTCTCTTCAAGTTACATGTGCTATCCATTTTAGTTGTTGCTGTTGCTGAAAGTCCTCAAGTGGTGTGGTTAAAATGCCATTACTTGTGAAAAATATTAAATGTGGGTTGTTTCTTTTGTATAACAGTAGTTTCAAGCATTTTGTGTCTTTCTTTACAGTGTGTAATATATAGTGAGTGGTTGGCTATTCGTTTCTGAGCACCCCTATCTGCTAGTATTGTTAATTGATCCCTCTTGCAGACGCCTGCTCAGGCACATTTGTGTTTGTTTGAAATCCACAGAGTCCACTACAGTAAGTATATATATATATATATATATATATATATATATATATATATATATATATATATACTTAAATATAAAAGTTGATATATATATATATATATATATATATATATATATATATATATATATATGATAAAAAAATATAGTTTTAATGTTTGCTATATTTATAGGTAAACGTGCTCAGTATCAAGGATAGATCATATTTAAATATAAAATAGGAAAGTAGACACTGAGGACTGCATTTAAGCATGAAACTGACTGTTGTCATTTGGTGTTGACTACAGTGTCCATTTAGTGTATATATATATATATATATATATATATATATATATATATATATATATATACGATTCCAATGGAATAAATTATGACCATGGAATATTAGTGTTTAAGCCTTTTATTATATATATATATATATATATATATACACACACACACAGTTCGACAAAAAATATATACACACTCAAGAGAAAAAAAACTTGTATAGATATTGTAATACTTAATTTATTCAAACATCATGAGATAAATACAAGTTACCTTTGGACTCTACAATCATCTTCAGCCATTCATGAAGAATGTTACCAAATCGCAGAAAATATGTCATTTGAGGACTTCCAACAGCTAAAATGGATATCACATGTAACTCAAAAAGAAAATAATGATACTATCAAGATGTTCATATTCCACACTACACCAGACAAAAGCTTAGGAAGGAAACCCTCAGTGGTTTTGCGCAAGTGAAACCTATTGGTCTTGACAAAGGCCATACTTCTTTGAACCTTGTAGACTGGTGCTACAGAATCACAAAGAATTTTATCTAATCACAGAAACCATGTCTTTTGAGGACTTCCAACAGCTAAAATGGATATCACAAGCAACTCAAAAAGAAAATAAGAAAACATAAGGATTTTTGGATTGATTAATATGCAAAACAAAATTTTGCCTTCTTTTTTTTTCATTAAATTCAAACAACTAAGAATTTAAATTATAATTAAAAAATATTTTCTATAAATTTCCTTAACTGGTTCAAAATGCTCAAAATGGTGGCCTCTAACTTCCAGACATTTATTAGTACTACTGCTTGGGCAATGTTGGCCAAAGTGTCCATTGGGATTGCTGCACATGTATTTTTAATTTCTTGTGTAAGGGTTGCCAATGTAATGCCATCTGTCAAGAAAATATGAAAATACCATACTACAGTAAACATTGTTATTGCAATTTCATAAAACTATGAAAGACAATTTTTTTCCTTTCTTGAAGTGTGTTTACATTTTTTGGCAGACTCTGTGTGTGTGTGTGTGTGTGTGTGTGTGTGTGTGTGTGTGTGTGTGTGTATATATATATATATATATATATAAAGAAATAATCATACCTAGAATCAATCAGCAATATTAATGCGATTAATGGCGAAATCACTTCGCTAGTAGAACATAATGTATGCATTAAAATACTGTTTATCCACTGAATGATGTGATCCTCATATATAAAACTGTTGTCAGATGTTTCTAGTGTATATTTTTTTAAGTTAAGCAAGTACTTTCCAAGATCCAAGTCTTCATCGTCAACCTGTAATTTTTTTTCTTTAAAGTTAAAACTTAAAGATGAAATAATTGTTTGTAGACCTAAAGATGTTTTTTTAAGAGTGTGCTATTTATTGATGGTTGTACAATCTTGGAATGTGCTAGTCGCAACGCTAAAGTTCAAAATTTCAAGTGAGAATTTTTACATGAATTTTGTAATATGGTAAATCCATGAATTCTTTTTTTACAAGTGTTTTTCAGTTAACATGGCATGAACTAAGTATATAGTTCAATTAATATAGTGATATGTCTTAGTAGTTTTTTTTCAGGAATTTTCTACTGCGGGATCAATTGTTTTTTATAAACATATTAAATTAGGCAGCATATATTTTATATATACAGAAATAATCATACATAAAATCAATCAGCAATATATATATATATATATATATATATATATATATAGATAGATAGATAGATAGATAGATAGATCTGACATTATTCTCCTAATTCAAACATTATTTTGTGGATTGCCATGTTTGAGTAAACATTGTTGTTTTTTTGCTTTTTTTAAACTGCATGAATAATGTTTACCAAAGTTTTAAACAGTGTGAATTAGGTCTTTTGAATATGCAACCCAGTAGATATAATTTACCCTGTTTAAAAAAACAAGGGTATCCATAAAATAATGCTTGGAGCAGGAGGAAATATATAAACGTATGTAGTATGTGTGTGTGTCTTTGTGTGTAAAGTTCAAGGGTAAAAGACAAACATATACTTATGCCTTAATCATATTTAGGAAACTGTTTTTTTTTTCTAATTATTAATAAAGTGTCTCATTAAATCTAACAGTGAAATGTTTATCTGTTTTACTGCTACAGACAGAATGTTAAAAAAATTATATTAATTTCTGTCTGACAGTCTGTGTGTCTGTCAAGGTCATAATTTCAAGATAGTAAACACAAGAAATGAAAACATACAGGCTAGAAAAGAGAGGACAGATGGACAATCAACTTCAGCCTATGATTTTTAAGGAGCTGTCCCACAATCCTGGTGGAGGCAAATGAGGGTGCTTTGATAAAGAATATTGATAAAGAGAAGTAAGGGAAAAAATTTAGTAAAAAAATATTAATTTTTAAAGGTGATTAATAAAAAAAATTAACATAGATAAAAAAAAATTGTAAATGAGCAGTTTGAAATTGGACTAACATTTCTTATTTGTTTTGGGTTCTGTTACCAACATATTGTCCTAAAATTGGAAGAAAATAATCCATTCCCATTTTTTTTTCTTATTAATTGGCACAAAATAACACATAAGGGTTAACATGCAAAACAAAATTTTGCCTTGTTTTTTTTTTAATTTTTTTTAATTAAATTTAAACAACTAAGAATTGAAATTATAATTAAAAAATATTTTCTATAAATTTCCTTAACTGGTTGACGTTACATACTGCAAATATTATAATCTTAAAGAATGAAATAATACCATGTCCTGCTAGAACACAGCTATCTCCAAGTTCTTTTTCCGTCGCCTCCCTCTGTCTGTTCTACAAATACTTTCATGGAAATTGCTCCAAGGAGCTGCATTCGCTGGTTCCCAGACGTCATGAGTTCCAGCGCCCTACGAGGCTGGCATCCCGCTCTCACCCCTTCACTGTCGAAACTCCTAAATGTAGCCGTCTCTTCTACTCTAATAGCTTCATGTCTCGCACCTCTCGCCTGTGGAACTCCCTTCCCTTCTCCTGTTTCCCTGTGAGCTATAATCTCCAGCTATTCAAGTGTAATGTCAATCGACATCTCCAGTTGCCTTGATCTATCCACGACCCTCATCCTTTCTTCTATCACTCCTATCTGATCTTGCTCTAAATTTTCTGTAACCCCTTGCGTCTTAGTGGCTTCCTGCCTTGCTTGGGGTGAAATGCTTAAAAAAGAAAAAAAAAATTACCATGCCTTCTTGGGAAAGATAATGATGTGTTTATCCATTATCTTTACCACAGTTTGGAATTTAAAGTCTTTTTCTTAGAATGATTGCCACCCAAGGCTAGAGACCCAATATTTCCTATTATTTAACACATTGATGGGGAAGATGAGATGGATTCATGCCTGTCCCAAAAGCATTTGTGTGAAAGTGAATGTGACAAACTATGCTGGAATTTGAACTCAGATTGCTGATTTTATTTTTTGCACTGATAGCAGTTATGCTACCCACACATTCACTTTATTATCTTAGACCTCAGAAAAATATATTTTTTTATGAGATACCGATGTCAAGAATGGTACCAAGCTGGTTCAGAAATATCTAAAGTGTCAGCTCTATACAACCATTTTCTCAAATCAATAGTTAAATATGGTTTTGAGTGAGTGAAACCTGTGGGTCTTGACAAAGACCATACTTCTTTGAACCTTGTGGACTGGTTCTGCAGAATCACAAATTATTTTACCAAATAGCAGAAACCATCTCATTTGAAGACTTCCAACAGCTACAATGGATATCACATGTAACTCAAAATGAAAATAATGACACAATGAAGAAGTTAATGTTCCACACTACATCAGACGAAAGGTTATGAAGGAAACCCCCGTCAGTACGAGAAAGACCAATAATAGCTACTGGTCCTGAGAAACTAATTTTCCTGGAAAATTGTTTTAAGAGAAAGATTTTATCAATTTCAACTGAAAGCAGTACTGGCTGCTTGTCAGTGACTGCCAAATTTTTCCTTGTAGGGAAACGGCTAATATTATCATTAAGATTTTTTATGCAAAACTATTAGCTTTTTACTTATCTAATTAATAAATTTTCACTATTCCATCTTTAATTTATGATCTAAATAGTGGTGGTCCTTTGGTGTGGAATAAT